AGGTTGTGTGGTGAGATTAGTGGTCCTTCCTGCCAGAAGCACTGCAGAAGGATATCTCCTCTGGCACCCATGTACTTCTGCTTTCACTGTTGGAGGGTATTTTTACATACACAGTAAACACAGAACAAGTCAATTTGGTGAAGCTTAAAAATGGCTGATTTGCATTATAGCTAAAAGTCAGAGGTCATGTGAAGAGCAGTGCCCTGAGAATCTAGTGCTAATTAGAATAATATTTCAAACTTTTATTTTGCTAAGTGTCATTCAGGAGGTTTGTACAGAAAGCTTTACTAAGATAAATCTTGAAGATAACATTATTCTTGTTGCCTCTGATGTATGCAGAAGTTGATAACGAGCTGATTTCCTGCTTCTGACAGATGATTACACACAACAGATGTTTTAATTTGATTATATCTGTGAGATAAGCATAATGCTGTGTTAAGTCCAAACACTTTTTATGAGTTTTTCAAAATATTTTACAACAAATGCAACCTTTTGAAATGTCCTTGCTTGAGGGTGCTTTTGTTCTCATAATGGTGCAAATCATTATTAACAAGTTAAAACCAGTGATTATGCAAAAGAAGAAAACTGCATTTAAGTGTAGTTATAATTCTGTGCTCTATGATAACCTAAATTAAGAGAAAAATACAATGCAAGCAGTGATACAAGGCAAAACAGTTTGACAGTAGTCCAAAGAGGAATGATACACATGACAGGCAGATCTTTTATCAAGAATGCTGAAAGGCCAATACTCCATGCCAAGCACCCTCAATTTGAAAATTAGCAGGCAAATGTTAGTTTTGTGAACAAAGGGCTGCAGGGAACAGAGGTTTTGAGTTTCAAATGATACAGGCTTACAAAATTTGACTTTTATTTGAACTGAAATGCCAAAATTTCCCTAAAAAATAAACTTTCAGTGCAGTGAAATTAAAGTGTTGTATGTTGTTCCCATGTCCTTTTTTTAAAATATGTAACATGGAGAGAACAAAAAAAAATTCAAAACTAGTTGTCTGCTTCAAAACAAAACCACAACCGTATCATACCAAATACATTGAAAAGGTATGTGTCAATTTTTCAAGCAGATTTCCTATTTTATTTTGAAAGTAGTTATGACAAAACTTATTCAGAGTAATCAATGCTTTTATTTGGGTCAAACTACTTGGTCCAGTTTTGTCATTAATAGTTTTGTCAAGGTAATATCAACACACTATGTATCTGATTGCCTTGTGTCATTCCAAACAAATATCACAGGAAGTAGCTCCAATGATCACCAGTCATTAAAGCATCTTGTAGCTTACTTTATATGATGTATACGATTCAAAGAGCATTTTCTTTAGGATTCATGTCATCTAACATCAGATACCTAAAAAGTAGATGTCTGGGCTAACTCTGCTCTCTATCATCAGCTCATGTGTCTAGAAGGTTTTTAAAATATCTGGACTCCTTTCCATCATTGGATGACTGAGGAAATGTAGTTGATCTAATAATGACAGTTCTGTTCATCCAGCATTTGTCCTCCAGCCTTTCCTTCTTGAACCTGATCTGGGACTATCCCACTACAGCCAAAAAAATGAGACTGCTCCTTTAGATGGCAGGAAAGATGGTGGGTTGTCTCAATCATCTCTTGGAACTTCACTCCAAGGCTAACTTTTAGACAGCCTAAATAAGGTGAGTTTCTTCACCCTACATCACATATATAAGCTTTATATAGGCATGAATATTATATTATGTTAGTAAAACAGTATAAGCCTAATTCTGAGTCAGTGGGTCTCAGAATTATCTTGTTCTGGGATTCTTAAACAAAACAACACTGAAGTTAATAAACTAATCAAAAGAATTGCTTTACTGAATGCATTACCAGTTCTTGACTGTGTGTAGAATGGTTTTGAGTGGAGTGTATGTTAAGTACAGTGAAACAACAGTTTTTAGTACCACTGCAAGTTTTGTAGAAGGTTGAAAGTGTCCTTCTATGAGAATAATGTTGTAGTTCTCATGGGATTTTGACAAAAGTACTATACTGAAAGCTAAAAAAATGTTGTAATAACAAAGAGAGATAATTTATACTCAGTAGTCTTTATGGACTATTTTAAAAGCCGTACCTAAAACTACAGCAAGAAGTACTTAGTTTGTCTTCACCAGGAGGCCCTGAGATTCAAGAAGCACCAGACTGTTTGTGTTCTGGGTATAACCTTCTAAGGTTAAGAAAGAATATATAATATTCTGTGTTTCAATATTTTGCCTTTCTGAGTGAGGAACTGAAATTAGCTGCCCCTTTCTTACCCTGTCAGGTTGGAGTTGGTTATTTAGGTCTTTAATCTGCTCCTCTTCAAAGGGGGCTCTTTCTCTACCTCAGTCAGGTATTCAACTGAGGTTCAATGCTCAGAGTTTCAGTCTAGAAGTAAGTAATAAACTGCTATCTGCAAATAGGGAACTGGGAACTATGAACAAGGAAATGGAAAGAAATGACCAGTCTTAATTTATATATTTTGGTTGTGCAGGAAATCTTGATTAAGCTGCATTTGGGCCCTAATAGGGAGACTTACAGTATTCAAAGGTAGAACATGAGATTTTACTAATAAGCCTGTCTGGGACAAATCTGTGAACCAAATCAGGGTTACTTCCACTTGCACTCAGGCTATAGGTGACAAAGTCAGTACTCCTCTACTGAGGATATCTACCTTCCTTCCACCCCAAAACTTTCTAGTACCACTTAGCACTCTCATGGGTTCTCTGAACGTCCAAAGTGCAGCTGTTGCACAGCCCTCACTGCATGATGTATTTGTGAAAATAAAAGTAATGTTTACATGGAAATATCAGACTTCTGAAGTCCATTTGTCATAGACTCCTCACTTACTGGGTAACAGGTGCCATTTTGCCTCATGTGAGAGAGAGGAGCTGTGATGCCATGCTGTACTCAAGGGTGTGAGACTGTTGGAGACCTGAATACAGCCCTTCCCAAGGTCTCCATCTCCTGCAAGTGCCTCTCCTAGTGCCAGACTCTAGATGAGAGAGACTGGTCAGAATGTGCCCATGCGAGAGAAGAGCCATGGAACTCATGTGAGGGAGAGAGATGCAAGTGAGGCAAAGGCCAGCTTGCCAAGTCACGCCTGGATTGTGACAGGTTTGAATACTAGCATTAAATCTGAATTTATTGGCTTTTAAACTTCTTTTTTATGTTGGAAGGTCATCACTAAAAACTAATAGGAAATTTCAGCGTACACAGCCAACTTTCTAAGCAAACAGCAGCTCTTTGGCACCTGTAGCTTGACAGCTCCAAGGAGACAGCAATGTACAGCACTCCTTATTTACTAACGGAGGTTGAGAAATGCTTTTGTTTAAGTGGATACTGAAAACAGTCAAGCACAGAGCTAGTGCACAGGAACTGATAAGAACACTCCAGTCTGTGCTCAAAGGGAGTCCAAAATTTTTCTTACCTCTGGAAGGTAGAGACTGTGCTTGAGTGAATCTTGACTGTATTTAAAGAGGGTGAGGGAGAGGAAAATGCTCTCGGAGAGTTTTATGAGACTTTACACCATCAACTGAGATGGCATGGTGAAAATATGCATTTAGGGAGTTTTTAAAACTCAATTTACATAAAATCACATTTTTTTTTATGTCTGTTACAGGCCAATTAAATTCTTTATGCAAACATTTCCAAATTCAAGCAGAGTTGATCTGGGACAGTCAGAGCATGATTACATATATTCCCCTGAGGCCTTAGGCCATTTTCTGAAACACCCAGATCTGTATCTCTAGTGCTGTAGCCGAGACAAAAGCGAACCACCTCAGTTCCAACACACACCTTCAAATTATCCCCATGTGCATCAGTTCGCCCTTCCATCAATACTCAGCCATTTAACTCAGAGAGGAAGGGAGACTGTGAGCCAAAAATGAGTCTCAAGACAACTGCTGGCTATGCAATGGCTGGATTTATACTGGCAGAAAGCTCAAGACTTATTCAGATTGAAAGTCTAATGGTTCTTACAATCTCTGACTGGGCTATACACATCAGTGTGGTCCTGCTCCTGAATCATAGGTGCAATTTTTTGTTCGTGGAGAAGGCAAAATCTCTGGTAAAAACTGCTTTGGGGAGGGCTGGGGAAGAACTTAATCTGTGTCACATACACAGCATTTGAGATCAAGTATTGTACATCCAGCCCATTTGGGGGTAAGTGCAAAACAAGAAGCAGCTGACAAGTTGCTCCAGCCAGCTTCAACATCTGCAAGCTGAGTGCCCAGCTAGTCTGTGTGAAGGTTTCCTACTATTACCCTGACTTCAACCTCCCCTGCTCCCTGCTTTAGTTCATCTGGGGATTACGTCCTTCTTTCCGATTCCAGTTCCGCAGAGGGGGAAACCGGCTGCAGCAGCATCGTTAAGATCAGGGATACGGATGCCAGCAGGAGCTCTGGAAAGTCCCCGTGCCCCAAATGATATGACTGGGTCTTCTTTCAACTGGGAGGGAGACGGAGCCCTCCGAGCTGGCCGTTTCCTCTCGACCTTGAGCCTTGTCCCCAGCCCCGGTGCAGCTCCGGGGCCCGGCAGCGCGGGCGGGTGGCTGTGGCCGGTCCCGCCTCAGCGGGAGGGCAGGCGCAGGATCCGGGCTGCACTTCGGGGCTGGGCCCCGGCGCGCTTGTGGTGGGAGAGCCAGGACCTAGAGGGGCTGGCCATCTAGCAGATGATTGACATCAAACTGGGTGAGGTTTCATGTTAAATGAAAAAAAAAAAAAAAAAAAAAAAAAAGAAAAAAGAAAAAGGGCGAGCGCAGGGGAGGGGGTGACTGTGGGAAGGGGGAGAAGGAACTACTGTAAGAGTAAGAAAGTCCTGCCCAGCTGTTTGCGAAGTTTAAGATTTCCTGTTTCCCCTGCAGCGCCGAAGTGAAGTTTTCAGTGAGTCACCCGCGGTCCCGAGCAGCGGAGCCGCGCAGCCCCGCTCCCGCCGGCCCGCCACCGCCGCGCGGCCTCCTCGCCGCCCCGCGCCCCGCCCGCGGCTCGCCGGCCGTGCCGATCCGGCTCCGCCGATGACTCCCGGCTGCCGAGGAGCCTGCGGCGGCTGCCTGCTGCGCCTTTCCCTCTGGGTCCTCATGGAACAGTTCGGTCCCCGCTGTGCTCCGGGGTAAGTGCCACGCCGGGCCGGGCTGCCTTTGACAAAGCTGCTGGGCCGGAGGCAGCAGCGGAGCGGGGCGGGAGGGGGGCAGGAGGCGAGGGACAAGCGACAGGAGTCCGCCGCGGGAGGCGGGGGACACGGTTGCTAAGTTTTGAGGCTGGAAGCATTTCGGGAGGGGTGAGCGTGTTTGTTGATGGCCCTGAGGGAAAGTAAGCGGGGAAGAAAGGACTCGGAATCTCGGGGTTTCGCGGCCAAAGCTGAGGTCCGTCCATGGAGGGAAGAGGGGGGGAGAAAAGAGCGGATTTGGCAGGAAATCAGCAGGGTCTGTTCGGGCCGGAGAAGCCCGGAGAGGGCATCTCGGGAGCTGCCTGCTGTCGCCGGGGGAACGACCGCCCGGCCCTGCCTGCAGCTGCTGCGGCAGCTCCACGCACCTGGTCGCCGGCCCCGGCACGTGTGCCCGCAGGCGGCGGGACGGCGGGACCCGCGGCGCGCGCCTCCTGAGCCTCTCGGGGAGCAGCTCTCCCTGCACGGCCACGGGGACGGGCTGGAAGGTGCCTCGGGTGGGCATGGCTTGAGCCGCTGCGTGCCGGCTCTCCGAGCCGAGGGCCTGTGCGTGGCCAGAGAGCCCGCTCCTCGTGGATCCGCAGTTGGTTACCAAAAGCTTGGTTTTCGTGTGAGTTTCTGCCAACAGCGGAGCTTAGCCCGTCACTGTGAGCAGTTGGACTGAGTAGCAGTCATTCCTGTAGCACTGACTGCGCATGTTGACTCACTCTTAATGACACTTTACATTCCTTACTCTGCTTTTACCAAGGCATCCTTAGATAGGTTTTTGAGGCTGTGGCTTGCAGTATTCTTCATATCGTAATTTATAATGTACTAAGAGCTTAAAATTCTGCTGTAAAAACAAGATCCCTGCCCTGAGGAGCTTTCCTTCTCTGTTCTACCAGTATTACCCTCATCTGTGAACTAACATCTGTAACAGCAAGGTTAGGCCCTAAATCATGTTGCAGCACAATGGTGAACCTAAAGAGAGAACAGCAGATTGCAGCAAAACTGCGTCTGAAACACCTTTGAAGAATTAAGTAGATTTCTGAGATATCTTGTGATATCACATCTAGTTTTAGTCTTCAGGTAAGATACGCAGACAACAGCGCTGCTACCAATTTTGCTCTGTGCCCTCTGATTCTCCCTTGTGGTCCATTCGTGGTCCATACTGATCTCAAAATTGTGGCTGAAACATAATAACATAAAACAGGTGACCCTTGCATAACTGCTGCCATTAGCTATGTACAGTTATGAATAACTTCATGCTTCATTGATAATCCTGTCAAAGTCAACAGGTTTTACATACCTGCAAAGTTATTCATGGAAGCTGAGACAAAGAATTGTCAACTTTATATTGTAACTGTGATAAGCATAAGCAGGTCTGGTTTAGTGTGACTTAGAAAATTTAACCAAATATTCAAAACTGCTAGCTGCAAATAGGGAACTGGTCTTGTAAGAGAGACAGATAGTTAACTAACTGTTGCTTCAAAAATACATAAGCAAGCTTGGAGGAACAGATAGGTAACTAACTGTTCCTTTTAGGCACGTAGACAAGTGTTAACAAGAAAGCCAGAAAATATGTCTTACACCTAGGTAAAATAAAATGCTATTGTAATGTGTGCTTAACCATTTAGTTTATCAGCTACTAACCACAAAAATGTATGAGTGTATGACATTTATGAAAAGAATTGCTATATAAGCCCACCAAAAATGTGAAAAAGCAGAGGTACATTTGTGGAGTTAACCCTGTGTCCTCTCCACCAATGTGTTAATAAAGATACTTTGGAGGACAATCTGTTTGTCAGTCAATTCCTTTGAATCAAAGCTTAGGGCAGAAGAAAAAAACAGTGTAAGAATAAGACACTATGGTGTCCCAGGGTCCAAAATTATATTTTTTTTTAATTTGAGGTGTGCAGCTTCAACTAGTGATTACTTTTATTTTACCCCAGACCCAAATTTTTACAGATTTCCATTGCAAAAAAACTTTAAATGAATATACTCCACTTTTGTTAATCTTGTGTTATTTATTATTGTACTTTTTTTTCCCCCCAGTCAACCAGTTACAGACAGTCTCAAACTACAGGTAGATTTTTAAAAGCGGACATAGCTTAAAAGGTTGTTCTTCTTTCTTGTCGTAGGTCCTGTGAGGGAAAAGTATGTAGACTGGCTACAATTCAGAATTTTTCATACTGATCTTCATTTGTACTGTACAAAACTGAGTAGACCTGTTGTCAAATAATCTATCCTATAGCTCCAAAAGTTGTTCTAATAATCACCAGAGGATTCTATTGTGATTATGACAGGCAGAGTTGGTCAGAAAACAACAGTTCTGTGGGACAGAAAGCATGAGGTTTGGTTGGTAGTCACTTGACATTGAAATGAAAACTGTAGCTGCCAAATGTTTTGGGGAAAACAAAATAAACAAACAAAAAAAAAGAGCTACTTACTTCGTAGTAGCTCAGCAGTTCAGTGAGGTTGAAAAAGGAGAGACATCAGTCTCAGAAGAGCTCAATTCCCAGGTAAGCCTACTGACCAGCTGACTTTTGTTAGATAGGTTAATAAAGCCCCAGCCAAAATTTCATTTTAATGTTCTTCACAGAAAAATATTAAACAGGAATGTCACATTCCCATAAAGACTCTGGACAAACCAACAAGTTCATGAACAGGCTTAATAGGAATAATCTGCTTTGAAAAAGATGCTCTCATGTCCTGTACTACAAACAAAAAGTTAAAGTTTTTTTCCATAGAGTAAAGGGACAAGGTGTGATTTTTTTGAATGACTGTGAATGGTATATTGAGCATTTAATCAATAAATGGCAGTGCGAAACAGCAGTTGCCCACATAAAAAATTGATGCTGCTGTGTTCAAGGGAATATCAATCTGTAATTTATATTTAGATTATCATAAGCAGAAATTTGTTTCTTGGAATCATCTGTGTAATAATTTTTCATCTCTGAACATCAGAAACTTAATTTTTCCATTCAGCCAAACTCTACTTGCCTTAGTGTCTCTTTAATTTTTTTTAAAGCTATATCATAATTAGTTAATTTTATAGTGTGAAAATCAAATTTGAAGTTTCAGTTATTTGCAAGAGGGAAGTAGGAGAAAAAACATCTTATAACATGATGGAACATGTTTATAACATGATTGAGTCTAAAATGCATTCCTGCCCCCCATTAAAACTGGCAATTTTTCAGGTATTTCAGGAGGTAAGTAGGAATAGATCAGAGATATTATTTCATTTTCTTCTATTTATGGGATATCCTTGCATTTTAAGGCTTTTATACCTAAGACTTTGAAAAACACTTTTATTTAATTGCTATTTTTAGGTCCTTGGCATTAACATGCTTCTATAATATTCAGGTGGTGAATCTCATATAGGAATGGTTTCTATTAAAAAATGATGAGCTGGATCTTAAGCTGTTGCAAATGAATATATTTCCATTAGCATTAGTAGAGTTACATAGAGTTATAACAGGTTTCCTGAAACAGTTTCAGAAGTAATTTCAGAAAAAGGGTAATGGGATAATTCAGATTTTTTCATATTTGTAATATTTTTTCACTTACATTTTGTGAACACTTACTATTAGATAACCTACATTTAGCCAAACAACATTGCTTCAAAGTTAAATGCTCCTTTCTGGGATGAATTGTTAGTTTCAAAGATACAGAGTCCTGTAATGGTCCCTGATAAAAGTTGTCACTGTGACGAGGTTAACTCAGAATTTAGGAGCAAATATGGTGTCAGGTTCTTACCAGAAGAAAAATTCCTGATGGTTTAGTTTGTGGGGTTTCTTTGTGGGCTTGCTTTTTTCAAAGGCTTTTAGGCAGGAGTTGCTCTTTTAAGGGGAAGGAAAAAAGCATAGTATTCCTGTAGCACCAGTTTTTGGAGTTTCCGATGCTTATATTTCCTCTGCAAGATATTTTTACGGTGATATTTCTTGCGTTTGTAGCATAGGAACTTTTTTGTCAATAACGTGTGTATGGGCTGTCTGTCATTCTCTGTCACTTCTTAGAAGAGCTGTGTCTTACTTTCAGTATAGCCAGAATGAGCAAAACCAACTAGTGGGGCCTAACCTGTTACTCTTGGATTTTGTGTAGCAGGGTGCACTTGTATCAGCTAGGTATGAAATATTATCACAAGTGCAGCGACAGATTTTGATCTGAAAGTGATCCATGCAATCTCCACACTGGCATGGCCACAGTCGAGAGTTGGTGGTACAGTGAAAGGCAAGGCTACCAGCCACCTTTGTGTTCCTGGGATCAGCAGGAGGCAGGTGAGCTGTTACATTCCTGATCTGCCCATGGTTCCCACAGCCCTTCTGGCACCTGGTGAGCTGAGGAATGAAAGGATGTTGTGAGGCAGATGGGAGACCAGTAGTGCATCACCTCCTTTGCCACATAGGAGCCCTTTGACTTGGGGGAAATATCCAGGTAGGCACATCCCAGGGAGATTAGATAGTTTGTGTTGCCAGAGCATTGCAAACTCAGTAAAATTGCCTAAGAGATCAACCAGTCTGTGCAGATGTTGGAGAGTACAAGGGATTTCCACCATGAAGTAGTGGAGGGCCAGCCCTGATAAAAAAAAAAAGGTGGGCTGAGTCCTAGTCAAAGAGACTTAGTGCTGAGATTTTGTTTTACTTACTGGGTCTTTAGCCTTAAATCTTCTTGGTGCTAGAAGGGTTTCTGTTTCTTTTTTTTTTCTTCCTACAGGATAATGAGGACTGGTTTTTAAGCTCTTAAATCAAGAATAAAATAAAAGGTGATGACAAAATACTTGTGCTTTTTTATGAAATCTAATTCTGGAAGGTTAAAATAGACTAAAATGAATCATAAAGAGTATGCTTTGGTTTTGACAAACAAAGTCCTTTTGAAGTTTAACTTCACTGGCAGGTAGAAGTGATAAGTATCATATTAAGAAACAGTGGAGAAACTTCTTACTACAGGGGATTTTACAGCAAGGA